TCCTGGACTTCTTCAGATTTTACAGACTCATCCAAAACACAAACTAACAGACTGATGAACGGTTTCTTTCTCAGATCTGTGTCTCAATACTGCACAGCTGCTGCACTTTACTGACAACATTCTGCACATCACAGTTTCCCTGAATTTCATAGTAAATACATGCACAAGGATTCAATATATGTAGCCTATAATATTTGTCTAAAGACATAGAGACACCCTGGACAGACGGCTGGTCCATCACAAAGCAACACGCATTCATTCAAACAAACATCTCAGTGTCTTCAGTTTGAAAAAAGAAAAAATGAGAAGAAATGTATTTCGTGTTAAACAGGTTGTGCTTGAAATAAAGCTGCTCTTAATGTTTTTTTTTTTGATGACTGCAGTATGTATATATATATATATTTTTTTTTTTTTATAGGCCAATAATTCATTGTACAATAGATGTGTTTTAAAAGACCTTTTTTTAAAAACATTTTCAATGAGGAGTAAGCTAATAGCCTGAGCTTTTACTGTCCTTACAGCACATCAGTATGCGGTGATGTGCTATGAAATTACTGTGGGGCAAATTAATTGTAATATGAATTTTATAATTAAAGTAACCTAATATTAACAATAGGCCTAATAATAATAAGACTGTAACAGGCCTACATTAATTGGAAATGCCAAATCCACTTAATATTGCCAATAACTGATGTTTTTGAAAATATCTCTGGCTATCGTCTTTTGACGCAATCCAGCGTGGAGAGGTTATCACGGTGCGTGCCCTGCGTTCCCTTCTGCTACTGCATGTATGTTATGTATGCATAATTTAATACAAAAGGATGAAAGACAGTCACACAGAGCACTTTTTCATTTAAAAGCATGAGATGCAGTGGGATAGGAAACAACCTGCCAGAAAGTCTCGAGACATGTTTTTAAAAAGTTAAACTTGCATTGTTTTCTAAACATGCTGCTGCTCTCTTGTGAGTGCAACGGTGATAGATGTCCCTATAGAACGTGATAAATATGAGTTCTGTGTGAACATATGCCTGTACCAGGGTCGGAAATTGACATGGGCTTGTGGTAAAACTGCCCTTGTCAACTTAAATATATGTACTGGTCCTGGAGGCACCACAACACTGCACGTTTTGCATGTCTCCTTAATCAAACACACCTGATTCAGGTCATCGGCTCATTAGTAGAGACTCCAAGACCTGAAATTGGTGTGTCAGAGAAAGGAGACATGCAAAATGTGCAGTGTTGGGGTGCCTCCAGGAACAGGGTTGGGAACCACTGATCTAGAGTACAGTCTGTTCATTTTTTTACAGACTCATCTGATCACAAACACACTCAGCAGGAGCTTCTGATATCTCTCTGATGCTGCACTTTACTCTGATAATTTTCACACCATGAACCTTTGACCTGCATCTGCCTCACAGAGACTCGTTTTTGTTTGACAAAATATTTGTTTCATTTTGCACTGCCTCATATTCATGCACTTTCATTTACTATGCATGATTTTGTATTCCTGTATATTATGATTTATTTATCAGATTCTATCCACCTTATTTCTAACAGAAGTGCGGTCACGTCCGTTTGTAAATTGAATGTATCTGGTTTCCGCTGTCATACACTTCCAGTTATTTTTAGCTGCACAAAATGTTTTTTATGCTGCTTGATTTTGCAAAACTTGCTATCTGTTGCCATGTTATTTTAACGAATAGTCGTAATTATAAACACACTGGTCTGGAGTGCTAATTGTTTTACTGTTTACTGCACTTTATTCTTATAGTTATTTCCATATCGCAGCTGATGAATCTGAAGTCTGGCACATTCACAGAAAATCGTTATTACTTCCGTGTTGAAAAATAAGGTGGCTATGTCTCTGTATATTTTTGTATCCTTCCATGCCGTTTATTGTAAATGCATTTATTAATTTTTCAGCCTATCCTTAATTAATGCAGAAACCTTTGGAGGACAATAAAGATTCAGTATTTTGTTTGTACAACTGAATTACGCAAAACTTATTTGTGGATTTTCCTCCATTCTCAAACTGCTTGTCAGGGTCGTGATGATACTGGAGCCAATAACAGCATCTCAACGCTGGGAAACACTAGAAAACACAGACCTCTAAACTCAATAATAATTTGTAAATGTCTTCAGCATTCCTCAACAGAGTCAAACATGGAATAGTTTAAAGCCAACATTTTAGCTTTATTAAAAAATGTATCCTTTAACAGAATTCCTCAAAAAAAAAAAAAAAAATTACTTCACAAAATACCAAGCTGTACACATTACATTTTTCAAAACTAAGAGCACCATATTTTATACATACTGTATGCTGTCATGTTCTTCAACAAAATAAACTCCTTTCTAAAGAATTCATTTGCAACATATTGGAAAACAAATTAAATTACTCTGCAAAATACCAAACTGTAAACATTAAATTTTTTCAAAACTAAGAGCACCATATTTTATGCTGTCATGTTTTTCAACAAAAACTCATTTGTACAGAATTCCTTTGCAACATATTTGAATAACAAAAAAAAATTACTCCGCCCACGGCACTCTGTCGTAAGCATTGCCCTAACAGTCTTTTTTCTCTTCTTCTCTGATCCAGCGTAATTTAAATTTGGGCAAAGTGACTGCAGCCAGAAGAGCTTCTTTATTGTCCATCATAGAGGCAAAGTGTACCTTGATTGCCGATGAGGAAGAAAAAAAATACATTAGACTCTTCACATTATACAAGAGTATGACAGATAATGTAACATTTATTTAAGCCATGGGTAAACCAAAAATTGAGCAATCTGTATAAACTAAGATTACCTGAACAATGACATCAGGGAGAGATGCTGTCATCCTAAGCTCATCCCGCAGTGCCAGTGTCCTGGACATTAGAATCTCCAGAGTTGGAAGAAGTGTTCCAAGATAGCAGTTATCTTCTCCTTGCAATATGTCTAGTGCTACAGTCAGTGGCTTCAACACAATACAATATTCCTTTAGGAACAGATACTCCCGATCCGTGAAGCATTTTATTCCAAACTGAGTGCAAACAGTATTTAACTCAGCAACTGGAATGTCAGTGATCCTGGACAGGGCATCGTGAAATGAATTCCATCGTGTTGAAGTAGGCACTATGAGTTTTTTTGAGAAAAAATTCTCTACTAACTCTGAAGCCACAGAAGAACGGTTTGCTTTTGTCCATAGAGCAGAACACTTTGAAACAGCATTTCTGTAGATGACTGGACTCATTTGCTTTAAGTCATTTCTCAACATCGTGAAAAATGAGGTTCAGTGTGTGTGACGCACACCTTAAGTGTGGAGGGAGAGAAAACTGTCCATCAGAATCTGTGGAGAGAGCCTGCTCAACATCAGTAAATGTCACCTCTTCATCTTCCTCTGACTCCTCATCAAAATCTGATTGTTCAAACATTTGAAAAGCTTTGATAAAATTGGACCCGTTGTCTGTCACAGTTGCTGTCACTTTAGAATTAAGTCCATAAGCAGAATGTACTTGCTCGATTTCATTGGCGATTACATCATACATGTGTCTCCCTTTAACTCGTTTACAAGCTAATGCAGCATGTCCACGTACAAAAGTAGATGGATCAATCCAATGTGCGGTCATTCCGAGAAAACTTTTGTTATGCTCGTGCAAATGTCGGCAGTCGTGGAAATATATTCCAAACTCTCGAATGTCTTCTTAAGCTCAATTTCCATATCTGTGTAACACTTATCTAAGTAAGACGAAAATGTTTTTCGATCAGGCAGGGCTTCCTTTTTACCACACACAGGTATTTTGTTTAATATGCGCCTAAAAGACGGTGATTCTACCGTACGCAGCGGTAGCATCTCTTCCACTATGTAGCCTGCAATTATTTTTTTTAGCTCACCTTCGGACTCTTTCTGCACTGCCGATGTAAAATCAAGCTTTGCCTGCTTAGCAGGGGTTGCCGCAGTGTTATCTGTCGATGAACATGGATCACTCAAAAGTGTTTGTCGATGCTGCCTTGTCAAGTGCTTCAGTAGATTACTTGTGGAATTGACAGCGGCCGATAGTTTTTTCTCACCAGGACATAGCTTACATTTTACAGTAATGTTCTTGTCTACCTGTGTTAAAAAAGTGAAGTAATTGGAATATTTCCATTTGGCAAAACAGCCACCCGGTTCAGCTGACATCTTCTACTTCAGGGACTACCAGCAAACTGGCACGAACTCACGAGCAAATGCAATACAGCTGATGATTTTAAAGAGGCAGTGTTCACTTT